ACCAACATGCAATCATTCCACTGAGGGGAGGTGGGAATCTAACAAGACTGCGAGAACTATGGCTAATCTAATCCGTGTCTAGTAAGATTGGCAGGAAGTAGCACAGAAAGGTCATTTGCCTGTGGTCAAGGATAACAAGGACGAGGAGAGACATTGGGGTCTTAAGTTACTGCATAAATGCTAAAATATTACAGGGAGATAACCCACGGTCAGGAGGAGTCTCTATAGAGAACACGTATACTGAAGGAGATATAATTATTGTTAACTCCCTGTATTCTACCTAGTCTCTCTCAACTCTGCATCCCATCCTGCCATTGTGCCTAGTCTGTGAAGAATCTATGATTTGGAGGGTAGCAACTCATTAAGAAGAACTAAGCTAGCTTAATAAATAAGATTTTGGGGAAGAAACGCCATTCAGTTACATAAAAGGGTTTTTCATTTCACCTAAAGTTAACTTCTTGAACCTTTGCAGGTGCGAATGATATTAGATTGTACATTGAGCACTCATTATTGACACAGATGGCTTATTTTTAGCAAAGTAGTTCCCAGAATAATTTATAGCACCTACACACAGAGAGAAATCTACATCTTAAAAAATACAGCAAGGCTGTCAATTTGAACATGCAATTGCATAATAAACTCTATTAAGAACTTATTTCAGGAAGCAGGGCTGTACACTAAGAACTTTCCCCTGGTGCTTTTATATTAGACCATTTTGACAAGATAAATTCTCCCCAAAGATGTCAATGTTAAGATTTATAGCATGAAATATTTCTTAGCATGAAATATTTCTTATCATTTACCTAATATATTTGTTCAATGATTCATGGGAAATTTGATGTTTATAGCATTTTTTTATGGGAGGAGGAGACTGCAACTCTTAGAAATGTTTAGGATGTGCAACTTTATACCCTGACCTCAAGAAATATATAATCTAATCAGGAAAAATGTTAACACAAATGGCAAATAACACTACAAAGTAAAATCAACTGAGTTTGTTTAAAGTTGTATTGGTTTTTCATCTCTTAAGATTTCTTAGATCTATTTGACCACTTTCAAACTGTGCAAATAAATGGGAAATGAGAGCCCAAGAAGCAATGATTTTCTGTGTTTCTTTCCCTTTTTTCAGTATTCCAAACCTCATCTTCATAAACAATGACACCTAGCAAATATTAGGTCCTCTGGACTGGAGTTGTACAGCTTATTCAAAAATACATTCGAAAAATACATATGAAATTGTTACATTGCTTACACTCACTTTTCCCTGATGAAAATTCATTCATGCAGCTAGACAATTGCTTCGGAGGCTGTGAAATAGCCTTCCGGGACAGCCATGTGCCCAAAGAAAGAGAGAAGAGATTGTTAGGAAACAGCTAAGATTTTGCACATTCAGAAGTTATGAACCATAGGGTTCATTTTGTAACTTCTTTTTTTCTTTCACAAAGTTTCCAATTGCAGAGGCCAATTGTTAGTCTTTCTTACTGAGAAAGAGAGATAGCACTCCTATCACATTCTGACTGAATATAACAGAAATCACAGCTCATAAGAAAGTCAGTTATAAATCTTAATACTGTCTTTATTCCTTTTCCATTCTGTGTATCCTAAACCAAACAGAAATATTTCTAGTAGGAGACAATGTATCAACTGCTATAAAATTATTTGACTGGAGAAAGTGAAAGAAATTTCTTGTTCGAAGGCCATCTTTTTATCAGTAGAGCTCAAAGGACTTGCTCTTATTACCTGATGGGCTGTGAGAGTTCTCCTAGCCCAACTGAAAGAATAAAAGGAGGTTTAGTGCTTGTCTGGAGGATCTACAAATATGTTAGGCAGAAGTAGAAAACTTTAGACAAACTTCAAACTTCTAAATATGTGATACAAACAAACCGTTGCACTAAAGTTAAAAGAATGTAAAAATTTTGAATATTTCACAGGAATACAAGATGCTGTCCTGGAGAGAAAGAAGAAAGTAATTTGGGCAGATGGCTAAATATTTTTGGAGGGAGAGAATAAATATCTGTACAAATTCAGTACTGTTTGACCTGGTTAGTTCCACCAAGAACAATGCCAAAAGTTGGCAGAAATTTTCTCAGGTCATCCACCTAAGGATTCTTATTTACTCAACCCTTAAGTTTGAATTTCTAACAGTGTCCATTATCTCATAGATGCCCCCTGTCAACTATGACCCTGGAACTTTAAGTGTAGCCAGGTTTTCCATGCATTGTGGTAGTGAGCACCTAAAATTCAGCAGTTGCATACACTGCATGCCTTTGATGAGGACCAACCTTAAGTTTAATTTCTGGATCCACTACTTCATGCTTGAATTGCTCTTCCTTGGTAATGCTCTCCAGGGTTTATTATCTGCCTCTGACCCTTCTTCTTGGTTTGGCCATTGTAGACTTCATCTCTAGCATATTGCTGCGTGACTTCACAAGGCCCAGGCCTGAAGACATGTCATTTGCCAGACTACTCTCCATCCAACCATCTTTCTTCTGTCCTTCCCTTCAGGAAAATTGGATCCTGGCACTTTAGATTGTGCAATGGCAGAATCAGGGGATGTAAACTTTGGAGGTGTCTCAAGATCCAATAGCAATTAACATTCAATAAACAATTATAGTGCACTTTCTATGAGCATAGCATACTGTCGAGCTGTATGAAGAATATGAAGAAGTGCCATTCTTAGATGCTTAAGGAGCATATAGTCTAACTGGAGAGACAACAGAACTATGAAAAGACCTACAAAGCAAAATAAATATTTACCTGGTGTTCTCCAGAGCAATGGAAATAAATTCTCTGTAACTAAAAACAGTAACCTTCTCTCACAATTGTGAATAACTAAGTCAGAAGTGTATTTGGGGACCCGAATGATTCATAATATGGTCTAAATGTCTTACTTTTGATGCATGAATATATACAGATTTATGATAGAATTAAATTTTCTGAGATGCAATTTAGCATGGTCCTCTTATTCTCTTCAGACACAATATTATTTGCCTTACCTCTTTGTTAGCACTCAGAACTATAAACAAATAGAACATGAAATAGAAAGCTACAAGTACATAGCAGTTCACTGAAGACATTGATTTCTATCCAGTCTTTCTCTAAATTATTACTTTAAATAATATGGGCAACATATTGAGGCAGATGCCTGATTTCCATGAAGTTTGCCATTGGAAGACCTGACTTTAGACATAATCATGAAAATAAATGCTATGCAATATGATAGGCAGTGTGTGCTTCTCTGGACAGTTGCCTTATACTTTCAAGCAAACAAAGAACACTACCTCTGGTGGTGAGTTCAGTATTTTCACTTAGAACATGAGATGCAACCTCATGTGGAAAGAAGAGATTGTATCTGATTCTTCTTTGTACTCCAGAATACAGCATGGTGCATGGTACCTCATAAGTGCTCAAAAAGTGTTTTTTAAGCTGAGCTGGACTCAGAGCAGTTGTGGTAGGCAGAATAATGGCCATCTACCCACACAAGGATATCTATGTCCTAATCTTGGGAATCTATGAATATGTTAAATTACATGATAATGAGTGACCTCAAAATAAAGAGAATATCCTGGATTATCTGGATGGGTGCAATGTAATTGCAAAATCCTTAAATAGAGAAGAGAGAGGCAGAAGAGTCAGAATCAGAGAGAGAGCATTCTGAGAAAGATAATGCCATTGTTGATGGCTATGAAGAAGGGAGAAGGCCATGAGCCAAGGAATGTGGGCAGTCAGAAAAGGTAAGAGAACAGATTCCCCCCTAGAGATTCCGGGAAGAAATGCATCCCTGCTAATACCTTGATTTTAGCCCCGTGAGACCCATTTTGGACTTCTGACCTCCAAGCTATAAGACAATAAATTTGTGTTTCTTTAAGCCATGAAGTTTTTGGTAATTTGTTACAGCAGCAATATGAAACTACATAGTAGAGTGTTAAGGAAATATCCTGTGAAGTTAAATTACCTGCATTTAAGCACTAGGTCAACCATTGTCTAGCTGTGTGACTTGGAAGTTACTCAACTCTCCATGTTTCAGCTTTTTTTTTGGCTGAGGAAGATTGTCTCGGAGCTAACATCTGTTGCCAGTCTTCCTCTGTTTTGTGTGTGGGTTGCTGCCACAGCACGGCTGATGAGTGGTGTAGGTCCACGCCCAGGATCTGAACCTGTGAACCCAGGCCGCAGAAAAGCAGCACACCAAACTTAATCGCTGCACCACGGGGCCAGCCCCTCATCTTTCAGTTTTCTTATGTCTAAAATAGGATAATAGTCCTTAACTCATAGGACTTTTACAAGAACTAAATAAAGAACTTAAAACAGTACGTGGTACAACCCAGTTTTTAAAGCATTTGCGCTTTTTATTATTGTTTTGTGGTTATTATAAAGTCACTTAGTAAGGCCAGCTATTTCACCCTCTCCCGCCTCCTCTCTCCAGCTTTGTTCCACAAAGAATTTGAGAAGACATTCAGACTACATAGGAGGGATTAAAAGAAGACAAAAACTAAGACCTAGTAAAATACAAATGATAATGTAAGCACCAGGAGCAAAGAAGAAAACTCTTGTACTGAATGATCCCACCCAGTTGTTGTGGTTGGGTTTGTATCTCATAGACAGACGTGGACTTAAGTAACCAGAATGCACAAAAAATGATATGAGTCATTGAAGGCTTGAACAATGTCCTATGAGAACTATGAAAACTATCAGCTAGATAGGTCATGGGAAAGTTTGAGAGAAGTAGATGTAATTAAAGTGGGCCTTAGGAAATTATCATGACATAAATAAGTGGAAAATGGAAAAGAAGGATATTTATCACAAAGAAACAGGCATAAACAAGAGGCCTCACTATAAAATCCATCAACTGAGTGCCTCCTCGATGTAGAACTCAACCAGCTCACCCTTTTCTAAACAAAACTACCCACATCACACTTCATCCAACCTCTTACATATCTTCTCAAATGTATGTTTAGTCATTCAGACTGACTCTCATCTAAATTCCCTTTCTCTCTTCCCAGCTGTATATAAATATTTCCTCAGCTACAAGGCTTCCTGTTGAGTCCTTAGGCAGGCTTGCCTGAAAGATTGAATACTTGCCCACCTAGAGAAATCAATCAACTTTGCTGTATCCCTCAGCTCACTAAAGCGGACTGCCCCAAGCCTTGTGGTAAGTCCCTTCAACCATAATTCTTACAAAGGAACTGGCCACATCTTCCCAGACTTAGCAGTTGTGATAAAATATACCCCTCTTCAAAGTACTAAGAACCTTCTTTTAGAATGTGAAAGACTGGGATTCTGAACGCAGAAATCTTGATCCTTTAAGCTTTTAAAAATTAACTGTAATAAACTTTGAACTGTGAGACACCTGGATTATGGGATATGAATTATCTACCTTCCAAAATATTAGGCTTTCTTCCTGGTAGTTGAGTTAAGTGTAGCCTAGTTTTCAGATAATTTCAGAGTAGACACTCTGAGGTCCTGTAACACTTATAATAAGAACAAGTGAAACATTTAAACTTAGCCCCCAAATGAGCTGGAAATGGTAGGTCTTAATATTTGTTTTACTCTTGCCAAGGAGAAAGGAACACACACACACACAGAAGAGAGAGTAATTTCAGATAATCCTGCCTGAAGCTTCACAATCAATTTATGCATTCAGCAAATATTTCTTGAGCACTTACTTCAATGGAATTAGAATTTTAAAAATTAGAAAAATAGAAAACCATTTATCCTTACTAAAAAAGACAAATATCATGAGCTCTCAATCTAGTAGGGAGATAGAACCGCAAAGAATTACAGCCGACAGATGCAAGATCAGAGCTAGGAACAAATTGTGACAAGTAGGGATGAATATGAACATTGGAGCAAGGTACCTTTGAGGTGGTAGAGAACCAAACATTTTTTTCAGAAGTGGTAATAACTGATTATTTTTGTGGAATAGGGATTTTTGGCCCTTTGTATTTTCCCCTCTGCCCACAGGGAGGAAAGAACTTTATGCCCAAGCTTCTATCTTTCTCTAGCCATGTCTTGGCACCCTTTTAAGCAAGGAACTGTTAACCTTATTAGGCAAATCCCAGAACATGCACCAGAACCTGCTTTCTAGTGGGGCAGTTCCCCAGTTGGAAAAGGCATAAGGCCATGTTCATAGCCTACTCTTCCATTTCCTTCCTTTCACTTCCTGCACCTATGAGATAAGCATAGGGACATAGCCACGCTCATCCAAACAACTACTCTGATGCTTCAGATATCTTAGATTTCAGAAAAGGAGTAGGAAGCCCATTTTATTCTAGACCTAAATCATAGGCTATACCACAGGTCACCAGAGACAATGCACAACAGAACAATAGAAGGTACTTACCCAGCAATCAAAATAATCATATTTCCTCATTTGGCTATAATTCCTTGTTCCCTCACTTTCTAATAGAGAACTTCAAGGAGGAGGACAAGTGGGTGTTTGGATTCAGGGACCAAAACCACCCAAAACTCTATTGTCAAAAACAGCTTGAGCTGAGTCTTAAATGATAAGTAGGATTTTCTAAGCAAGGGGTAGGAGGTGGGGGTGGGAGGTAGCTGGAACAGGCAGCATAAGGAGAGCATTTGAGAGCACAGCAAACAGCATCAGCAAAACTGTGATACAAATGTAGCTTAGACAGAGTACGTGGAGGAGAATAAAAGATGGTAGAGCTGGGTAGGCCTGGGTCCAGGTCAAGAGAAGCCTGGTTGTTATGCTAATATGTTTGAATTTTATTCTGCAGGCTAAAGTAAGCATCTGAAGGAATTTAAGCCAAAGAATAACATAATAAACTAGTGTCTTGGAAAGGTGTCTTTGACAGTAGTACGGAAAATCAATAGCAGAAAAATGAGAGCAGCTAGAAGATAATTGTGATAATCTAGGTAAAAGAGAACAGTGGCGCTGTGTTCTGGATGTTTGCGTCCTCCCAAAATTCACGTGTTGAATTATTAATACCTTAGGTGATGATATTTGGAAGTGTGGTCTTTGGGGGCTAAAGTCATGAGGACAGAGCCTTCATGAATGGAATTAGTGCTTTTATAAGAAGAGAAGTGAAAGAAATGTTCTCTTTCTCTCTGCCATGAGGATACAGCAAGAAGGTACCTGTCTGCAAGCAAGGAACAGAGTTCTCACCAGGAACTGAGTCAGCTGGCACCTTGATCTTGAACTTCCAGCCTCCAGAGCTATGAGAAATAAATTTCTGTTGTTTGTCACCCAGTCTGTGGTATTTGTTATAGCAGCCCAAGCTGACTAAGGCAAGTGGCAAGGGAGGGAAGAACCTGATGTGTGACAGAGACCAGTGAAGTGGGCACTTCGTACCCATTCACTTTTTATTCCTCAAAATAACCCTGTGAGGATAGAATTACTGTCTCATTTACTATAAAATAAAAGTCAGGATGAGAATCCACGTCTCTTTCATGTCAACTCTTATTGTCTTTTCATGCTGAACTATCTTTCATGCCAGAGGGAATGAAGAAAATAATATAGACAAAAGAGAAACTAGGAGGCCAAAATAATGAAAAAACTAACTAGATGGAGTGGAGAGAGGAAGACGAGGGAGGAGCCATTTAGTTTGTGATTGAGACGATAAAGGGAATGCAGATTCTCATGAACAACCAAGTGGAGATGCCCAGCGTGGTTGGATGTTCGTACAGAGACCAGCAGAGTGGCCTGTGCTAGAGTGTCCACAGCGCATAGGTTAATATCACCCAAGGAAAAGCAGACAGAATGAGAAGAAAATAAGAGTAAGGATGATGTATCTCCCAAGGTCCACTCAGGAGACAGAAACCACACGAGTGGTTTTGTTGTTTTGCTGCTGTTGTTTGTTTTGTTATTGTTGATGATGATGATGATGTTGTTTTTAAACATAGAGAAGTCCATACAAATATTCCTAAATTAGTATTGAAGCACTGAAAATGTCAGAATGGAACCCTATGATATTATGGTAACATGGAGGAAGCAACAGCACAAAGCAGCCACTCTCCCCAGGGCTGGGAGAACAGGAAGATAGGTGGAGATTCTTAAAATTCAGAAGCTTGCAGAAGGGGTCCTACAGAGCCGCTTCTCAGACCTCTGGGGAGAGACATGTTGGGCATCCTGAAGACTGCTCTCACCCTTGATGATTCACCAGAAGGATTCACGGGGCTCAAAAAAGCTGCTATCCTCAGGGTGAGGGTTTGTTAAAGAAAAATGATACAGATGAAAACTGGCACAGGGAAAAGGTGCGTGGGGAGAAACCAGGCACAAGTTGCCAGGTGTCCTCTCTGAGTGGTGTCACATAGATGCACTTATTTCTCCCAGCAATGACATGTGACAACATCTGTGAAGTGTTGACAACCACAGAAGCTACCCAAGCCTTGAGGTTATTGGTTATTGGGTTTTTGTTGTGGGTCTTCAGCGGGTTGAATAATTCCCCCCAAAGAGCTACCTCCAAGTCCTGACCCTTGGTGCTTGTGAGTGTGACCTTACCTGGAAACAGGGGCTTTGCAGGTGTAATTAAGTTAAGGCTCCCAAGATAATATCATATTAGATTTAGGATAGACCCTAAATCCAATGACTTGTGTCATTTTAAGGAGCGGAGAGGGCACAAAGACACAGGGAAGAAAGCCATTGGAAGATAGAGGCAGAGATTGCAGTTAGGCTGCACTAAACAAGGAATGCTAGGAAGAATTCTTCTCTAAAGCCTTTGGAGGGAGTGTGGCCCTGCCAACACCTTGATTTCAGACCTCTGGCCTCCAGAACTGTGAGAGAATCAGTTTCTGTTGTTTTAAGGCACCCAGTGTGCAATGATGTTTTTCAATAGCCTCAGGAAACTAATACAGATTTTGGCATCCAGAAATGGGGAGCTGCTGTAACAAATACCTAAAAGTGTGGAAATGGCTTTGGATTATGGTAATGGGTAAAAACTGGAAGAATTTTGAGGTGCATGATTTAAAAAGCCTCCATTGCTTTGAAGAGAAAGTTGGTGAAAATACATGTATTAAAGATGATTCTGGTGAGAGCTCAGAAAGAAGTGAGGAGCATATAAGGCTTTTATCATGTTAAAGAAAACATATATGGTCATGAACAGAAGGTTGCTAGAAATATGAACATTAAAGGTTTTTCTGGTGAGATCTCAGAAGAAAATGAGGAACATGGTATTAGAAACTGAAGGAAAGGTTATCCTTGTTACAAAGTGGCAGAACATGTAGCTGAATTTTGTTCTGCCGTTGTGCGCAAAGCACAACTGATAAGTGATGAACTTGGGTAGTTAGCTGAGTAAAATTCCAAGAAAAGTGTTGAAGGCACAGTCTGATTCCTCCTTGCTGCTGATAGTGAAATGCAAGAGGAAAAAGACAAATTGAGGAAGGAACTGTTAAGCAGAAAGGAAACTAGAACTTGATAATTTGGAAAATTCTCAGCCTGTCCAGATTGCAAAAGATGCTAAAGTGTGCTCTGGAGACAGGACCAAGGGTGTGGCTGGACGTACTTCTGCTGAAGAGAGATTGAGTGTGTGACTCATGGATCCAATCAACCAACAGCAGAAGCCAGGAATAGAGATGGGGTTAGCCAGGAATAGAGATAGGGTTATCCAGGAAAGATCTAGGGAGGAACCTCTTGTCTAACAGGCATGGGTCCCCTGACTCACGTGGGAGAGCCACAAGGTTTTTGAGAATGCTAGCCTACCAAAAACACTTTCAGACACAGATGAGGTGAAAAGAAGGAAAGCTATCAGTTTTCTGGAATTTTACGGGCAGGAAACAGGCTGATAATCCTCTTCACCTGCAAGCATGTGTTACCTTCAAGAAAACAGGAGAATGACTCAAAGGGCAGGGCCGCTGTTGGTCAGGGGGGACTGCCACAGGCCCAGAGGGCAGAGTTAACCCTTTCCTGTACAAGGGGACATTGATTGGTTTTGCTGGTATCTTGAACTCAAAGAAGAGTTCCAGACCCATGAGGAGAGAGCAACAATCAGTTGGTCCCGGAATTCCAAAGTGCTGTGGTAGGCTAGTATATTAGTTTTCTGTTACTGTGTAACTTAGCAGCTCATACCAGCACCCATTTATTAGCTTACAGTCCTATAGCTCTGAAGAATCTGTTCAGAAGGCTGATGTTGAGGTGTTGGCCAGAGCTGCGCTCTCATCTGAGGCTCAGGATTCATTGGTTGTTGGCAGAATTCAGTTTCTTGCAGCCATAGGATGGCAGTCCCTGTTTCTTTGTTGGCTGTCAACTGGGAGCTACGCCCAGCTCCTAGGGACTGCTTCTGTTCTTTGCCATATAGCCCCTTTCATCTTCAAAACCATCAACAGAGAATCACTATTGCATTGAATCCTTCTTAAGTTTCTAATCTCTCTTGCCAGGAAGGACCATCCTTCTTTTTTTAAAGGCTCACCTGATTAAGCCAGGCCCACCAAGGTTAATCTCTCTATTTTAAGGGGGACTTATTTGGGATCTTAATTACATTTGCAAAGTCTCTTCACAACAACTCCTAGATTAATGTTTATTTGAAAAATTAGGAGAAAGTGCCTTCATGTCAGGGACTGGGAATTTAGGAGCCAACCTATAATTCTGCCTACCATGCTGAAAGGGTTAGAATAACTGCAAACTGCTGCCCTGGAAGGAGCCACCACTGCTAAGTGAAGAAGGTGCATTGCTGGGAGACCTTGGGAAGAACAAGAAAACAGGAAGCAAACAGCAGCAGGAAGTAAGCAGGCAGAGGAATCAGACAGAAGGAAGCAAGTCCTTTCCCCTCCTCCAGTCTCCCCAGCGCCCCCTACTGGCAGAGCCTCCCATGGGTCCCCTGACACAGCAGAAATGTGGCTTGCTAAGTGCTGACGCCAGTAGGGGATAGTAGGTGGGTTTGGAGCTGAGAAGCAATAGTTTAACAGCTTAGTAACTGTCCCAGATGGTACTCCGGGGGGCGTTAGCGTTATTAGTCAGGTTGGAGACGGGATGCAGGACAGAGAGGGCAGGATGTGAAGGGAAACTTCGCCCAGTGTCAAAGGAACGTCCAGAGAGCTGGAACAACAACCCAGATGACCTCTGAAATCACTACTCCCCAAACATCGGGATGTGTTACTTTATATATTTATATATAAAATATTATATATATTTATTTATAGTAGAAAACTATTTTTCTTTTGCTATAATGATCCAAAGTTACCCTAATTATCATATAAAAGTGAAAATAATTCGAAATGCTTTCCTTAGATTTCCCACACGACTTCAAGGCAGAAGAATAATGTGTTTGTCTATGTTTCTGTGTGAGAGACTTAGATGAGATGGATGTCCTCTGAGTGATCTGTGCAAAACTAAAGGGAAATATAAAAAGTTGTGACGAAGATTAAAAGCCACTAGAAGCAGAAAGAAATGTTCATTCCCAAATTCATTAAGAGGTAATGGAGCACGCTTTTGGGGAAGATGACAAATTGCCTTTAATTTTGTTATTTTATCTAACAGTTTAAGGCAATTGTTTTTGAAGTTCAGACAAATTGTGATTTACAGAGGTTAATATACATCCCCAAACAATCCAAGCTGACAGAGAAGATGCGAAAAGGAAATTGAGAGACATGGGGTAGTACCTCAGGAGGAGCAACACCTTTTCACATATCTGCTTATTCAATTTTTTAATTATATGCTTAAACAACCTGTAATAAAAGTGCAAAACTAAGAAAAAGATTTGCAGAGCCTACTTTTTCATTTCCTTTTTTTTTTTTTTTTTTGGTGAGGAAGACTGGCCCTGAACCAACATCTACCATCAATCCTCCTCTTTTTTGCTTGAGGAAGATTGTCCCTGAGCTAACATCTGTGCCAATCTTCCTCTATTTTGTATGTGGAACACCGCCACAGCATGGCTTGATGAGCAGGGTGTAGGTGGTCCACACCCGGGATCTGAACCTGTGAACCCCGGGCCACCAAAGCAGAACACCCAAAGTTAACCACAACACCACTGGGCCAGCCCCTGTGGAGCCTACTTTTAATTCTAGGAATTAAATTTTAAAATGTGCATATAATTATGGTATCACATTTACCTGGAGCTTCATGAATTCCTATTCTCAAGAACTTTCAGACACATGCAAGTAGAAACTCATAAATTTATATTCATTTAATCGTTTTTTTAAATTGAAGAAGAGATGACATTTTTAAGATAGCAATGTGATCTGTGATTATTTAATCTGCTTCACCAGGGACAAGTGCTGTAGGGATTAAAATCCACCATTCGATGATTGATTGGA